CTACTACTAACAATGTCCCCCATACCGACGCTAATACGACTTCTACTACTAACTACTTGCTCCTACGACGAATCTACTACACTACTACTACTACTACTACTACTACTAATACACACTAACCACTACTACTACATACTACTACTACTACTACTACTACTACTACTACGACTATACTACGACTACTACGACCCGACTAACGACTACTACTAACTACTACTTACTACTACTACTGCTGCTACCACTGCTAGCTGCACTACTACCAGCTACTACCACTAACCACGCAAACTACTTTCTACCACTACTTACTACTAACTACCTTGCTACACTACTACAACCTACTACTAATACTACTACTACTACTACCACACCACACTAACTACTACTACTACTACTACTACTACTACTACTACTACCCCTAACTACCCTACGACTACTACTAATACACTACTACTACTACTACTACTGCTACTACTACTATTTTCTACGACTACTTTTACGTCTACTACTACTACTACTACTACTACTACTACTACTACACGACTAACTACTACTACTACTACTACTACTACTACGACTACTACTACTACTACTACTACTACTACTACTACTACTACGGCTACTACTACTACGACGACTACAATTAATACTACTACTACTACTACTACTACTGCTACTACTACTGCCACTACCATCACCACTACTACTACTACTACTCCTACTACTACTTATACCAATACGACTGCTACTAGGACAACTACTGTTCCTACTACTACTACTACTACTACTACTACCACTACTACTACTACTACTACTACTACTACTACTACTACTGCTACGACTACAACTACGACTACTACCACTTCTACTACTACTACTACTACTACTACTACTACTACTACTACTACTACCACTACTACTACTACTACTTCTACCACTACTACAACTACGGGTACTACTATCACTACTACTACTACTACTACGACGACGACGACTACTGCTACTACTACACTACTACTACCAATACGACTACTACTACCAGTACCAGTACCAGTACTAGTACTACTACGACGACGACTACGACTGCTACTACTACTACTACTACCACTACTACTACCACTACTACTACTACTAACTACTGACTACTACTACTACTACAACTACTACTACTACCTACGGCTACTACTACTACGCTAACAACTACTACTACGACTACTACAACTACTACCACTACTACTACTACTACTACTACTACTACTACTACTACTACTACTACTACTACTACTACTACTACTACTACCTCGACTACGACTACCACTACTACTACCTCGACTACTACTACTACTACTACTACTACTACTACTACTACTACTACTACTACTACTACTACTACTACTACTACTACGACTACTACTACTGCTACTACAAATACTAATACCAATAACAAAAATACTACGACTACCACGACGTCCACTACGACTGTTACTACTGCGACTACTACTAATACTACTATTACTACTACTAATACTAATACTGCTACTACTACTACTACTACTACTACTACTACTGCTGCTACTACTACTACTACTACTACTACTACTACTACTACTACTACTACATACTTCTACTACTATAACTGCACTACTACTACTACCTACTAACTACTACTACTAACTTCAATTACTTACTACTACTACACTACGGCTACGACTACGACTACGACTACTACCACTACCACTACTACTACTACTACTACTACTACTACTACTACTACTACTACTACTACTGCCACTACTACTACTACTGCCAATATATGACTACTACGGCGACGCTACTTACTACTACTACTACTACTACTACTACTACTACTACTACTACTGCTACTACTAATCATACGACGGCTACCACTACTTCTACTACGACTGTTACTTCTACTACTGCTACTGCTACTACTACTACTACTACTACTACTACTACTACTACTACTGCTACTACTACT